TATTATACGACTCCATATCATTCATTAATCACCAAATCATTCAAGTATCTTAAATTGTCGTATTAATTTTTTTGTCATTTCCCTCTAAAATACCTGGATAGTAGCTCATTGGGCTCATAAAAAGATCGAACAGTCGAATTCCCATAAAGTAAATGAATGAGGAGATGGCTGTAATCAAAGTCAGCTAAATTACTGTAAGGTACGACATCTATCGTGCATTAGGTAAGGTCTACATTCAAATTCGGGGAGTGCAATTTCTTGAGCCTTTTTTGGAAGGAATGGTTTTATTATTATTGCACAATTATTAAGGTGCATTGTAATGCGATAATTTCAGGTTATGAATACGGCAAATTACAATTTTAAAAAGCTCCTTCTCTAATTAATTACTTATTGCAAACTGCGGACTTCCACCTACTACAACCTCGGTTACTTTTAAAATATTTGGACGAGTTGTACCCTCTAAGCTCGGTTTCTACAATCAAAAAGAGAAGCTAAAAATGGAACAGCGATGCGATTGTTAAATATGTCCATCAAGATAGATAGACGGCTTTTTTTTCTATAAACCGCAGACCATCAAATGTGTGTCTTTTAATACTTACTCTGTTCGCGATTGATGTTGATATTTTGAGCTCCTCATTCTGACCGTGGAAACATAGCTTAGATATTCGCACAAGACTACTCAATGCTTCAGAGTTTTGAGTCTTTGTGAACTAAGATCTGCGGGCTGATTGTTGAAATTGATAGACAAAGCTATAGAAAAAGATGAGAAAAGGGATATGGAGGGATCCTATTGGTGGAAGCGGGAGGTTGCTTTAGACAAAGAAGGTGGATAATAGACTGATTAACGGCAACGCACGAGAGACCTTACAGTTAGTCCATCATTTTCTCCCTTAGCCTATAGGAGCCAAACATTTCAACCAATAGGATCGCTCTATACTCCCTATGTCTTCTTTGTCTATCACTTTGTCTGTCAATTTCAAACGAGAGACCCTATAATTAGTCCATCATTTTCTCCCTTAGTCTATGGGAGCCAACCATTTCAACCAATAGGATCGCTCTATACTCCCTATGTCTTCCTTGTCTATAACTTTGTCTGTCAATTTCAACAATGAGCCCGCTGGGTCCATTTTCCTGCGGAGGTTGAAAAAAGTTTTACCTATGGTCTGGCGACGCTGGTCAGACCGGTCAGCACCGCGGCGCTGAAGCGTGCTCTCGCGGGATCCGCGAAAAGAGCAGCCACTTCCTACGGTTGATTATTTTCGCGAACGTTAAATTACACCTGTCCCGCGCTCAAATTCGCGTCAGATATCCGTTACACACTCGTTAGCCATCTCTCATGTCTTCATTAGCAATTTCGCAGAACGGCGGGAACGCGTTGCGTATGCGACTGAAGCCCCGGTCGACCGGACCGGAGACATGCCCTCCGGGATAACTAGGCAAGGTAGCCGCGATGACCGCACCACCAAACTGTGATTCTTAAAATCCTCAATTTTCAGCGTTCTCAGACAACGAGCCGACTTTCACTCGCGAGTAAAGGCGCCAGTAGGACACACTCCTTAATTGGAAGGGTAGGTGCGATATCATTAAGGTCCGCTGTTTGAGCAGACACATGGGGGTGCTTCACATGGTCTTTGCTAAGGAAGAACGCCGTATGAGCCTTCTGACGTTGCCAAGTTTCCTTCGATAAACCGAATTTACTGAGAAAATTGTTAATATTTTTTTCAAAAATTTTCAGACAATTTTGTACACAACTCAATCTAAAATATCTGAAAATTTCAAAGAATAATTTGCATGAATGTCGTCAAAAATACATGTTTTATCAAGGGAAATTTGGCAGCTCTTGAATGTTCGTATGGGGTTCCTCCTCAGCACGGCAGATTAAGCCTCACTAAATTATGTAAGTATATTAGGTACATCATAGTAAATATTGGATGGATCGTCTTGATTTTTCATTGGAAGCATTAAGAAGAACCTGAAAGTCAGCAAACATCGAGATGTTGATCACATTTTCCAAAAATACTGGTTTCACTTTTAATTTTTGCCTAGAAATGGAACGAGTACTCTAGAAAAGCATATTGACGGTGAAACTACCATACTGCCGTGCTAAGGAAGAACGCCGTATGAGCCCTCAGACGTTGCCAAGTTTCTTCCCATAAAAACCGGATTTACTGGGAAAATTGTGAATATTTTTTTCCAAAAATTTCAGACAATTTCGTACGCAATTTTATCTAAAATATCTGAAAATTTCAAAGAAAAATTTGCATGAATGTCGTCAAAAATACATGTTTTATCAAGGGAAATCTGGCAGCTCTTGAATGTTCGTATGGGGTTCCTCCTCAGCACGGCAGATTAGGCCTCACTAAATTATGTAAGTATTACATCACAGTAAATATTGGATGGATGGTCTTGATTTTTCATTGAAATCATTAAGAAGAGCCTACCCTAGAAAGTCAGCAAACATCGAGATATTGATCGCATTTTCCTAAAATACTGGTTTCACTTTTAATTTTTGCCTAGAAAAGGAACGATTACCCTAGAAATTCGTATTGACGGTGAAACTACCATACCACGCATCTCAGATTCCGACGTTGTAGGATCTCCTGTCACACTTTCTTTTATAAACGGAAAACTACTCAACCAAATTCTTGGAAAATTCGGTGTATTTCCTTCGCAGCGCGAAGGAAATTCTGTGAACACTTCAAGGAATGATATTGATTTGTTCTCCTTCAACAAAATAAAATGAGAGCGGAGATTTTTAAACACCGCAAACGAGATACGTCGTCTGGTAGTTTCACCGTCAATATTGGGTAACGATTCCCAAAATCTCTCTCTTGGAAACTGGAAATTAAAGCTAAAAGTATCCAAATGCGAAATATGGCGAAATATCCGATTTGCTCAATCGTATTATACGATAATTTTTACACTCGCCGATAACTTTTGGCTTTGATTTAGAGTTATAGAAAAGATTTTTAGGGAGGAGTTAGCTGATATGTGCATTGTGCCTCTGAAAATAATCGTCTTAATTTTGGGTAAAATTTAAAGGTGAAATCAGTATTTCAATAAGATCTGTTTGATACCTGGATGTTTCTTCACTTCTGATATAGATTCAACTCAAGGGCCGTATTCATAGTAAACCCAGAAGTCAGGCAGAATACAAACATTTTGCTTGTACCTCCTTAGATATTCCTTTGAACTCTGGACTACTAAATGCTTCCTAATTTTTCCGTCGAAAAAAGTAATTTTACTCGAGTTGTGCTTTTTAAATTGCACCTAACCCGCCCGGCAAGTGGTTGCCTGAAGTAGTTGCGGAAATGTTGTCACAATGTGACTGTCAAAAATAATGTTGCGACAACGTTGCAGCAACGTTGTGGCAATGTTATTTTTGTCAGTCACATTGTGACAACATNGATATTCCTTTGAACTCTGGACTACTAAATGCTTCCTAATTTTTCCGTCGAAAAAAGTAATTTTACTCGAGTTGTGCTTTTTAAATTGCACCTAAGCTTGCATGGGATTCTTCCGCTAACTTGCCATATCATCGTAAATAATGTAGAGTAAAAACTTTGCTTTTAGCAAGTTTGCTGCAAGATTTTATGCAATATCTTACACGGCACAATATAATGTAATTTTGACGTAGACTTGCGGGACTTAAAATATTTTAAATATTTTGTAAAAAAATAAATGAAGTAAACATTTTTTCTCCGTAAAACATAGTCGTAGCAAACGGCGCACTCTTAAGAGCGTGTAATGAAATTCGAGACTCCCGTTGGGTTTGGGTCGGATAGGCAACTAAACTAACTCTGTAACAATGCGTGGAGTATCATACAGAAATGAAGGCGCCCCAACCCGTGAGCGTGCCTTTGAGAAGGCCATCATTCATTTAATCTTCATTACACCGATGCGTACTGTTGCAATTTCACGAAAATGCACGTCATAATGCATCCGTTGCAATGCAGTTGCAGCCGTTTGGCAGAAGTATGTCCATTTGTAGGTGGCGGAGTGAAGCAAAAGGACTTTTCAAGTGAGAAAAAGCAATAATAATGTAGCCATACTGCCGTGGCATCGAGCAGAGCAGTGACGACCAAATATTCAAAATTAGGTTTTTTTTTAAAAAAAAAAAAAAGAATTCTACTGATCTAATTTTTAAGCAGTGGGTGATTCTGTTAAAATAACAAAATTTCCCCCATACGTCTGAGACGCAAGGGTTTTCGGCGAATGGTAAATGCGCAGAAATTGACGTCATTACTGACACAACAGCAATGAGTCCTCATTATTCCATGAACGAGCTCTGCTCGCTAATTTCAGAAAAATAGAAATTATGTTTGCCGATTCTATTGCCAGCTCTAGAAACTTTTCATTTCAAACACTCATAAGTCATGACTTCATTAATGAAAAAAATTATGATGTTAAATTTTGACTTGAGGTTCTTAAGAGTAGTAAGTAAATAGTGTCTAGGGTCAAAAACTGTTCATCGATATTTTGGACCCCAAATCGACTTGTTTGCAGTTGGTTTTGAAGTTCATGATTTCCCACCTTAAGAGCCCTTTTGCCTCACTATCAAATTTTTACGTGTATAACCAAGTTCATTTACTTATATTGACTTTCAGTATTCTTATGAATTTATCAGTCTTGCACTGATATACTCATTAGAGCTTAAATTTTTTACTCTTAATTCAATTGTTTGACCTTGATTTCCCCGAAGAACGATGGGGACCCAGCACTACACGGAATAAAAAATGAAATTGCTGATTTAACGATTTTGATGATTTAAAAAAAAGTGACAGACATGTTTCAATGTAGATTTTAAGCAATAAAAAAATGCTAATTTAATCACGCCCGTATGGGATTAGCTTTCCACTATTGTAAAATTTACATTTGAAACATATCTGTCACTTTTTAAGCAATTTAATTGGTAAATTAGCAATCCATCTTCCCCGTGTATGCAATCACCTTGTTTACTTATTGATAATGTATACCTAGTATCCTTGATTATATCCTACCTTTTCTTCGTAGGCGAGGTCCGTGCATTTATATACAAAAAGTCTTGAAGAATGTCAGACTTCAAGTCATTTTCACAAGCCTTTGGCAGTTGTCTTGGCGCAAAAACATCCACAGATTAGCCGCGCATTCCCGCGGATTGATAAGGAAATTATCCATAATTTTTCGTAAAAAGCACCTATTCCTTATAAAAATTTTGACGGGAAATCCGAGCACTTCCTGTCCACCTCATCGAGACGAATATCGGTTTACTGAATTTAAAGCTAAACGTATTTCATTCTTTACTAGCCCGTCCGGTTATTTTAGTTGTATTTCGTTGACGCTTTCTTCACGATAACTGTCGCGTTAATACCGCACGATCTGTCTCACCTCCGAAACGAGCCAGCACTAATCGCCGGCTCAGCGTGCGGTGCGGTGCCGCGCGCGGTCGGTCGTCAGCATGTTATCTTTGGCCGCTGACAGAGCGCAAGACAGCGCTATCTGTAGTCGCGGCCTCGAACTCGCTGATTTTTATTTTTTTAAATTTTTATATCGTGGAATGAAAAAAGACCGTTGCATTACTTAGATTATCAAAGATTGATCGGAGAGGCAGTTCTTGCCGATCGTCCAAGTAATACTGTGCGACGAAAATAGGATGTTGAAATATAATCGCGATTATGCTATTAAATGTACCTAGTTAAATTAATGTCAGCGAAAATATTTAAAAAATAAGCGATTTTTGGCTCTAAGGAGAACTGGAGATCTACTGGGCCGATTTTCACGAAATAATTTCTCAAATAATCGGTAACTATGCGTCTGAAGATTGGTCAAATTTGATCTGATTCGAGCATTTGATAGTCTACGATAGGTACATACATTTTTTTTTAAATAAAAGAAGCGATTTCTCCCTTCTCCTCCTTCTTCTTCTTCTTCTTCTCCTGTCATCCTCTTCTTATATTATCGTGTCTACAAACAAGGTGCTGACAAAAACCATCTGACTATTATAAGGGGCATGATACCACTATTCGACCACGTGGGAACTCGTGTTGCCTACACAAAAAATTGAAGGCAAACTGAAATGACGGAAAAGTAACCTTCGGAAAGACCACAAGGAAATTGTGGAACGGGTTTGGAAGTACTCAGATAAGAATGAAGGAGCAATTGACAAAAAGGAGACCAATCACGCTGATATCAATATATTACATTTCCTGCTTTTAGTTTTTTCTTAGAGGCATTGACAGGTATAATCATCAAAACTATACCTTTAAATTAAGAAAAACGTAACTTAATCAATGGCTTTCCCATGATTTAATTTTGTCTCGATTATTTTAATTTCTTTTCTAAAAATAATTATGATTTTATTTTAATTTCATTTAATTTGTATTTATTTTTATTCAATTTCAATGGCTTTAATTAAAAGCCAATAATAGCAGTGCTTTCAAGTTAAGGACCACCCTCTTCTGCTAATTTCTAACCTGAAAATGAATTTGTGGTGTGTCCAAAGCGCAACCACGAAAGCATGCAAAAGATAGCACTTACGTCTGTCGTGCCTAACACAAGCCTAACGTGAAAATTAAATATAATACACTCCTTTCTATGTAATTGAAATAAAATCGGTCGATTTTCAATCATCGAAACGATTTCCAGGAGTTTTTCGGGTGGTTGGTGGCAATTTGACAAAGAATGGACGCTTCTTTCGATAAAATTTTCCGTTTAGACGCTTCTGAGCCCGTTTTCTCAAAACTTGATTTTTACTCTTACTGCTATCTTTGCTATCAATTCAGAATAGGGCAACGTGTACGAGCGGACATAAGACATTTGAGGGGGAAGGGGCCCAGGAGGGCAGAATTAGATCGGAGAAAGATGAGGTTGACATGTCGCACAGCTCTGCCGTGCTTAGGAAAAACGCCGTATGAACATTCAAGAGTTGCCAATTTTCCATCCATAAAAATGTCCATTTTCGCGGAATGTCAGGTTTATTCCTTATAAAATTTCCTAATTTTTTAGATTAAGTTATCAACAAAATTGCCTGAACAATTGGAGGAATATTATTCAAAATTTTCTCTGTAAATTATTATTCTATTGAAGGCAATATGACGACGCCTGAGGGCTCTTACGGCGTTCTTCGAAGGACAGCAGAGCTATAAGGCGCACAGATAACTTGGAGCAGCAAGTGGCGTGCGCCGCACAGTAGATCGAGTCAATTAGAGAGGTCGGGCATGATATTTTTGACAAAAACTGTAAATTATGTTTCTTTCGCCATATTTTAAACTTTTAGCTGTGTTTTCGGTAAACAATTTCACGAAAAAACCAATGAAACCACTCTTTTAGTACCTCAAAGTTATGTATAAACGGAGTTATAAGCGTTTAAAGTTTCCGAATTTTGTCCGACCTCTCCTATTGACTCGATCCACTGTGCGCCGCGCCGATCGTAATCTTTAAATGCTCATTTCTCTCGCACTCGCTTCCATTGTTTTCCGGAGAATTATAACAAATCAAAATATATGAAAAAGCGCAAGTAACACAAATAAACAGGTTTTCATTTGATTTTGAAAAGAAGCCTTTGACACTGTACTTATTTTTGAGAGGTCGATCCCGAAAACATATGAAAAATGGCAACATTGCGAACTTAGATAGATAAAACTTCCAATCTCGTGACGTATTCCAAAATAATTTATTTTTAAAATAATTTCCGCGCAAACCGCGCTTCAAAATGTTATTTGTTCGGTAGATATGGAATTTTATAGTTTTACACTTGGCAACGCTGCTGCGCGGAAAGAAATTCGTTTTAGGCCTTGAAAATTTGCAGTACGGCATAATCCGATACGGTATAGAACAACAAAAGAAATGGGTTAGGAATCCATGCTAAGGATGTCGATTTTAAATAAATTCGGTAAATTTCTACGGTAAATGCTGTCTAGTTACTTCACGAGCAGACTTGCGAGGGGTTTATTTCGTTGTCGCATGCTAATATAGCTTGTAAGAGAAATTACTACTGCAACATTCCTATCGAAATCTCCGTATTTTATCATGTTTTAGGAATTAGGACAGATTTTACCGTCATTTGCTCATTCGACTTGGCAACACTTACTACAAATACTACGCATGTACTACGTTGAGTACTACGAGGGTACGATGACGGTCTCTCATTGGTCCGTTCTGTTACGAATGGTTCATTCATGAATTCTATGCAGCTCATAGCGCATGCGCAGCATGCGACGCAGCCTTGCAGATGGTAAGTTTGTAAACATAAACAAAGCAAACGGTGATTTTTTGCTTGATCAATTATTCGACAAGAGTATTTTTTGGAACTCACTCCAACAGGTGTCGTTGTGCACAGGAATAAGAAGAAAATCCCAAATTATTACTGGCAAGTAGTTCCTGTACTATTTTAAAATAATGCACTAGTTTGTGAAGTCTGCTCATATTCTGTGTACTGAAATTAGCCCTGTGGACGTAGAAACCGGAGAGCCCATAAATATAATGAAAGGGATAGGGTTTTTTCTTCAAGCACTTAAATCGCCCTGCATTATCATTCGGGTGTACCTATTTTTGCAAAAAAGAATTAGCTATGTGCGTGCAAATAAAGGAAATCAAAAGGAACTACCTGTGTTGCATACAGTCCCTATGCGCAAAGCCTTAATTGATTTAATTCATTTTCATGTAATCAGGGCTGGATTTACATACTTACCGCCATGGGCCGCCTGTATTTTGCCGCCCCCCCCCCCTCATTCATTTTGAAACATCAATGAGAAACCATCAAGTGAACGTGCCGGAGGGGGAGGGGTGCATAAGACGCGTTTACTCGTGTTGGACACATTTTTTGCGAAAGCCCTGTCAACACTACTGGCACCACTATTGGCCACCCCCTAAATCCGGCCCTGCATGTGATTCCGTTTAGTATAAATACATCCATTCATTCATTTTTAGTTTTTTCACCTAATTTTTCTGGTGAGACCACTGAATCTTTTTCCATTTTGAAAACCGTTGACAACAAAATTCATGCTATGTCAGGAGATGGCGTCTAAGACATCCAAACAACTGACAGATTTGCTTTTTTCTAGAAATTAATATAATTGTCAGTGAAAAGGAAAATTCAGCAAATGCTGGTATGTACATGTCATCCGCAGATTGCTATGTGAAGCTGCTGATGCTGTAAAAAATATTCAGCCTAATCAGCCTTTTACCTAGGTACATTATTTTAATTTTGCCCTCAGGTAATATTTAAGTTAAATGAAGTGACCAATAGTTTGACCAAACAAATTTAAATTAAATTAACAGTATTAGAGGATTTTACCTGTATTGTGTGTAGCCGGTACACATGAACCTGACTTGATTTCACCAAGTCTTTTTAACTGATAAGGACAAGGGGCCAGGTCGCTGTGTATGTTGGTCAAGGTTAATGTAGAACATAAGCCTTCAAGAAGACACCTCAATTTTTTTTGTTCTTAATATTTACTATGTTTTCTTTCAGGACAAGGATATAAAAATGTACTCACAGGGAAAATACTTCATGCTTCTTGTTTGATGTAAGTTTTTTTTTTTTTTACTATTTATTATTGTGACATTGAGGTTTGATTGGTGGATGGGTGGGCGTAGGTGACAAGGCTACATGTTGTATTTGCTCAAGTTGCTAAACGACTTTAGTTCGAGTTTTAAGAAAATGTGAGAATTGTCATTTTTTTTCAAGCGAGATCAAGACTGCAAATTTTGCGAACACATCTTTAGTTATGATATTCCACATTGAACCTCCTATGATATTTTGTTGAAATTTTGATGAAATAGAGCAAAAAATTGTAGTAAATCACTTTGCTGGGAATTTCGCATCCCACGCACCATGATCCCTTTCCCTGATGACGGTCACGTACAAATGAAAAACACTTAAATCAGTAATCAACAGTAATATAAAATTATATTTTTTAAAAAAAAACAAATAAACAAATTAATATAAATTTACATAAACAAAATAATTTGGATTAACACATTAAAATAGTACAAAAATAAGGATTATTTTCAAAAGTTTCTCAAAAATTTTTGAGATCAGGACAAGAGTTAGGAGCATTGTTCGCAAAAAGTGTATTGAGTTGCTATACCTATTCCCTCGATGGGAGGTAGTCTGCCTTTCTACTAATTTTGAATTATTATGATTAAGGGCCTCCTGAAAGAAGAAAACACTCAAGAACTACATATAAAAATAGCACAACCAGCAATCCATGAACTTCATTATTTTGACTTTGGCATCAAATGCGACGTGTGACTCAATGCGTTATTCATCTTCTGCAACTGAATTCTGGGTTTGGCTATCTCCGGTTCTTTTCAGTTGATCCGCTGTGGTTGAAAGTCAGATTGGACAGCTTTGGCAAGTGAGGCAGCATATAAGTCAAGTCGCTGAGTCATCTATTGCAAAAACACATTTGAAAACGAATGATCAGAATAGCGAATTATGAGTGTCTGAAATTGTAAAACTTTTTAAAAATAAAATAAAATAAAGTGGAAAGCTACCCCTAAACACATACTTACTCTTATTTTACCTGCATTTAGTTCACCGGTGTATCTTCAAGTGTTAGACCTAGTGCTGATCAAAACTGATCAGTCTTGAGTCTTAAGATTTTTCTTACCAATCTGACTGTCGTCCATGCTAATAATGGATCTATCTTGAATGGGCTAGTTGACACTGTACTTTTCACTGTAAATTGCAAAATTTGACAGCAACATACAGAAATAGTCTCCTGCAATAGTGTGTGTATATTAAAGGTTTTGAAATTTTGTTTCTTTTGGTTCTCATCAGAGACTTCAATGAGCCTAAAATGAAAAGTAAAAATCAGAAAAAAAAGAGAAAACTATTTGGTTAATCCAATCCATTTTCTCCATCTCCATACTTTGCTGGTCTTTAAACTACTCATTGATTTTGGTATTAACCAAATGACTTAACGTGAAAGCCTTGATTCATCATCCCATGGCTGTCCATAACAGCATTCTTGAACACCACTCATCCTCAGCCGAGGCCCCCACTATTCGCCGATTTCAGAATGTCTTCTCTAAAGTGGAGTCATTAATCAACTTACATGTAAGAAGAATGACTGGCAAGACACTATTTTGCTCATTTGCAACATTTTGATTAGTATTTTTTGGAGTTCCCTTTGATGGCAGAAATTTAAAAATAATAATGTAATAAAAAACCAAATATAAAAAAAAATAACAGCTCTGAGAAAATTTGAAAAAACATAATGTATCGGAGTTGATAGAACTTACTTGGAAACCCCACCGGTCCTTGACCTGACGACAAAGATTCAAATCAAGTTCTGAAACAAGGAGGCCATCTCTAACACGGGATAATCCCTGAGAACCAAACAAACAAATAGCATTAGATTAGTAGAACAGCAGTAGGAACAGAAGTATTTAGGCCACTTGCAAAAAATATAAGACTGAGAAAGCAAAGGGTGCATTGTAGTTTTCATAAATGTAACACACTCAAAATTAAGAATGAGAAAAATGAAAGTGATGTCATTGCCAAGGCATCTGTATTTTTCTTCGGAAATGAGAACATTTAATCAAAAATTAAGACTGCTTGGGAAATGAACAGTTGTATACTATACTGTATTGATATTAATGAATTTAGTTCATGACAGAATAATTGACTTTTAACTCTTGACATATTCAGCTGGTCTAGGGCATTCAAAAAATAATTTCACAGAACTGACAAGAATAGAGGACAATAGCAACGTAGTGCTATAGGATTTCCAAGCTATTTGTGATTTGATAAAATGTAATTATTAAATTAAATGTAAGATGGAGGAAAAATGAGAAAATCATACAACAGCCTAAAGGAGTTAATTCTGAACATAGCACAAAGAACACCAAAATAATCTGAAAATTTACTCTTTGAGTGAAATTCAAAGTTAGAGAACGATTAAATCCCGAACTTTAAAAAAATGCAACATAAGTTTGCCAGCCTTAGAGACGATTAATTTCAAATGCTTTCAACATTACATATAATGCAACTTATGATTTGCAATTTTGACATATTAATCTTGAGATTAGTACATTAAAAACTGAAAATCAGAATTTCTGACTCTAATTGGATTTTTTTGCTGTACCAACCTAAATATAGGACCTTCAACCAAGTACAATTTTGCACTATTCTATTATATTCAGCGATACTTACAGGAGTTCTGCTGCCATCTGGGGCAGCCACATAACTGGAGCCATAAAAATGGCCGAAGTCTTGATGAGCTGGGTTCCCATCACCTGAACTAAACTCATTGGGAAAAATTTCAGTCCCGACGCGGTTTATGGCACAAGTAAAGTAGGTGTTTGCAATGGCAGCATTTCGCGCTTCTATGCCCCAAAGCGGCTCACTGGAAGAGAGAAACCAATACAATGAATGTTGAAAGTGAATGACACAAAAATTAATTGTTAATTAACAATATACAATTGATTTAACGGATTTAGGAAAATACTTTAGGCTGAAAAAATTCAGAGTGGAAGTGAGATTGTAATTGAACCTTTGAATGTTTAAGTACAAAATGAAAATTTTAGCAAAATTTGATCGAACTTCAACACTTTTATTACCTACACCTCTAACCCGAATTAACTTAGGTTTGAATTAAAATGTATATTTAAAATTGAGCTTGCAATTAAAACTTAAACTTTAAACTCACCTTAAACCAGTGACAGTGGCAGATGGGTTAAAAACTATTTCTGCACCGTTAATTCCAAACATAAGCCAGTTCAGCGGATGATGTCTTCCATAGCAAATATTAATTGCTACTCTGCCAAATTCAGTCTGAAAACAGAAGAAAAAAATAATTTATAAGATAGAAGAGGATATTGAAATTGACCGAAGAGGTCTCCATTTGACTCTCAAAACTTTTTTGAAGATACTTTGGGTAGGAAAATGAAAAATGGTCAAGCAGCTTGGTCATTATTGGAAGATGATTTAATCAAGCTCACATTTTGAAAATTCTTATCCCAAAACACACCATCTGCCTTGCTAAAAATAACTCTAAAATCTGGAGATGTACCTAATTAATTCAGCAGACTTATTCAATGCAAATATTTTATGATAATGATACGTTTGTGTCTACCCAGTTCACCTATACCTTGGCAGTTTGAGCAATCATCGGTGATTTCAAATAAAATGAAAATGAAAACAAAACGTAGATACAATAATGCATTTACATTATTACTGACTTTACACAAAACTAATCTAACAATGATATTGCTCAATTCGATGCCTCTCTGATTAAATCTGGTAACAGATCTGGTTGCAGTATTCAAGATAGAGATAGAGGCGACAGCGGAGTAATTTGGAGCAAGGAAGGGGTTTAATTTCATTTTTTTATTTTTCCCCCAAAAATATGAGAGGAAACTTCAAGCCTATTTTGAATTAATATATTTTAGGCATGTGCTTGTCTAGCACAGCATCGTTTATACATATCATAAACGTTTATCAACAAGATCAAATTAGGCAAAATATAAATAGCGCACCTCAAATACAGGATGTCCTGTGTTTCCTTCAAAATAGTATGTAGACTCATTAAAGTCACCAACTCTCGGGATGTGATTCTTCCGATGTTTCCCAAGCACTTTTCCATTATTGTCTATGACCACTGCAGTGTTCCAAATAACATCTGAATTGTCACGTTCTAAAATTGGGGATATTATTACCATGTTGTACTGCTTGCTTAACTGGAAAAAAAAAAAAACATTTAGCTTCAATATTTATATTTCAAAGTGAAGATCGTGTAAAATATATGCAAGATTGTCTTTCCTCAGGGATGCAGTAAGTTCTTACTCCTCTCATTTTTCAAATAACACTTCTTGTTTTAAAACCCTCTCTTTCTTCAAAGATGTCTGATTGATGACCATTTTATTGCTTTCAAAGGACAAATTGCAGCAATTTTGCAAACAAGAAATAATTTTCACAGCAGTTTTGCAAAAACACCTAATTTACACCTCGATTTTGCGGAAGATACACAATACATTTGATGATGAACCGAGGCCTCCCCCTTTTTAAAATCCATTTTTGAGGTTTTTCCATTTTTACATACAACCAACAGCAACCTACTATGTGTTGTTGAGAACTCTCTGCCCCCTACCTTTCTCAACTGAAAAAAGAAATGTAAATATGTGTTACAAATTTTTCATAAATAATAGATCCTATTGTCATTATGATAAATCATTTCTATAGTTGACTCAATAAAACTGAATCTGATTACTTTTGAGTGTTGGCAGCCTTAAAAGTAAGGAAAAAAGCAAAGGGACACAATCTCATTTCGTTACAACAATGAACAAGAGCTCTCCCCATGTTTAGGCTTTTGTTTTAAATAGCTTATAAGACTCATTCAGCTTACTTACTCACCATAATCTAAAATTTCAAAACAACAATCTCAATAAAAAGGTGTTTAAAAATTAATGACAAATAAAATACTTACCGTTTGGAGAAAGCGAGTTGTGGGACCATTTTCTGCTGACTCTGCAAATTCACACCAGGGTCTCTTTTCTCTAGTACAAAATGCAAATGGCATTGCTGAAATCGCAAAAAAGGTAAGATTATAATTCATGTTACTTCCTTCAGAGAACACAATTATATCAAGAGCAAACACTATGGACAGCCACAAGAATGTTTACAATAGAAGTTATGATTTTATCAATGAATTAAGTTATCAAGATTTGTTTCAGGACCATTGAGCCCACAAAAAATTAAAATTCAGTAGACACTCAATGCATTTAGCTCTACAGGGCTACCAAAGACTTTTCCCAGGACAAACAGTGTTAAATCATTGCTCGCATATTTATTTTAGTACCTACAGAAGAAAAGATGTAGAAAAATTATTTGCAAAATTTGACCAGAGTCATCATTTCATTAATATAAAACCTTGTTAACCCTCTACTGGTAAAGGTCCTTGATCCACAAAAACTCAAGAGTGGGCTGTTGAATTCAAACCGTAGAGATGATGGGAACCATGAGATCCAAAACCGCCCTAAAATGTCAAACCATAAGTACTAGAGGTATTGTAGTTCTAGTTCGTGATTTCAAAAAACATTGTTTTAAGAAAAAGCTATGTTAAATCTGCCATGTTCAAGGCACATTATTGCAAATTTTTTTACAATTTTATGTCCAATCATACTGACATAAAAAATAAGTAAACTACTCCCAACCCATTATTTATGACACAGGAGGGAAAGTTCTTCATTGCATTCTCAAACTGATCTTTTTTATCCTCAACAACAAAAATTACACAGCAGAAAATTTTCCCTCTGGGCGGAGGGTGAACATCACTAGGATGTCATACTTTTTATGAGAATATAATATTTGCTGAGTAAATGTGTGCTGAATTTGAAAATAAAAAATAAGTTTTGCATTCATAAATTTGAAACAAAAATATATTATTTAAGATTGAAACTTACTCCATGCCTCTTGCAAGCAAAGTATGTTCACACGGCAAAGTGCGGCGGTTTGAATTATTTTACCAATACGGACCCAAAGAGCGTTTCTTTGCTCCTCAATGGGGAGTATAGTTGGAGCCACGATCTTATTTTGAACAGCTCCTACTCGAACAATTCTGAAAAATTTAAATTTTCACAGGGCTTTCAGAATCACACTTCGGGAGGAGCTAAAAAGCATCGTTTAAAGCATATTTAAAAAAGTTGAGATTCAACTCTTTTTAGTAAACTTTTTAAGATGTGCAGGAGAGGCTACATCAGACACACATCATATAATTTCAAGAGAAACAATGGTTTTTTCTTTTCTTTTCTTTTCTTTTTTCGAGGGAAAGGGTTACCAACTGGACAACTTATTGATAAAGAGTGAACCAAAGCAAGGAAACAATGGAATTTTCCTATGACTGAATCAATCATTTTCCCTCTCATTATTTAATTAAAAAATATTTACGAAAACTACATAGGTAGTAAGGATTACTAATGTTTGATAAAAAGCACTTACCTTGGAGCTCTCAACTGCTCTGTTGGAACATCAAATTTATAGCCAGCTAACTCAAAATCTTCTGCAGTTGCAATAGCCACAGCAGTTTTTGGAAGTTCCAGCGGTCTAAAAATTAAAAGTTTGATGAAAATAAATGAAAGATGTGCGCCTACCATTTTAGCCTTTTTTTCTACGATACTAGTACCAAATTTGATTATTTTCCACCTATATAAGAGGTTTCAGAGTTTAAAGTGAGAAATTAGTTGGCACCAGACAAAATTACTGAAAGGGGGAATTCGAAATAAAATGATAAAATGTAGCTCTCTGGGTAAATTAAGGTTGACATAAAAGTTCTTGAAAAATTCTTTGTGATTGTGAAATGTGAGTGCAACCTGATCAAAATATGAATATATCTTCAACTGGTTCGTTTCCTTTGCTACTTTAAATAGTATTTTTGCAACGTTTTTGCCAAAATTAACTTCTCAACTGCATTCTCAAATTGATTTAATGACGTTATTTTTGGTAGTTGCCTTGTGGGTTGATGTTTGCATCAATTAAATTTTATTTTTTGTCAAACGTAGCACAGGGGGTAGTTCTTCAGAAATGAGACTCATGCTGCCATTTTTCAGAGTTTTGTGCGACGAACTTTTCTCAGTAGTAGGTAAAACTAGTGGTAATTTGGAACCACTGTATTGGACTTCAGCCCTCTGCAACCTCCTATTTTTTCGCAGTGAACTTTTTAATAGTGGCTATTTGAAAAGATCTTTTACTTTCTTGGGTGCTTCAAATAGTAACAGATTTTAAAATAACTTTTCATTGGCTTCATTTAAAATAGGCTTAAAATTACGTTGTTGAACGAATATTAGTTTTTAGAAGGTTTTTAAAGGGGCCAAAGAAAGTATAGAAGTAAGTAACTTCTCGCAAATTCTATCTGTGGATGCATTCATTGGCAGATGGAGCTCTCAAAGAGTTCCATCTGGCCTAAATTATTCATTTGTACTTTCCAACAATACATACAGCTCATTAAATTACTTCCTTTAAAATTTAAAAATCAGTTTGAGGAAGAGCGTCACTCTACTGCTATTAGTGCATTTTTCCGTATACCCAAAAAGATACATATCTTTTGCTGCTATACAAGATAATGCTGGGTCCACACTTTCTTGCAGGGAAAACAAGACCAAAAAGTCATAAAATTTTCAACCAGAGTAAACAATTTTGAGCTCTAATGAGTAGATACCAGTACAAGACTGAAGGGGGAGGGTGCTCAGCTTATTCAGTATGGGCCACGTTTCGCAGTGTTCTTTTGTTTTTGCTTATATAGTCCTATCTCTACTAAACTAGCTGGCTATCTAGCTAATCCACATTTGCCTCTACCTATCAGACTTATTCCTTTAAAATGATAGCCCAGGCTAAATTGACAAAGAAATCATTCAGCAGAGTAAATCTCTTCTCTTCCTTCAGCTGTGCAATTGCAGGAAAGTCTGCTTGATTTGGTCTATTACTAGTATTTAATTTTTCTTCTTTTTGGACTAGTTTATAGGAATTTTGGTTAAAAATTGAAGAAAATAACTTACTCAAATTCCTGCCCATAGAGGATTTTTTTCACTTTTGAACGTTGAGGCTGAGGAATATGCTCCAAACAACTTTCAACACTTGACAATTCGTCTGAAGCGACAGACTCTTGGGCAGATGCCATTTTAGGGAGGGGTTACCGCTAAAAAAAAGAAAACAAAAAGTTGAAGTCTCGGAAGATAACTGAACTTGATAGAGGAAATAGTGATTTGCGAGATTACCCTAAAGGACGACTAATTATCAATAATTTACTCAAAATCAATTTAAAGGAAAAGCTGAGATTTTATTTTGTAGAGTGAACGAGCTGATGATGATAATATGGATCCCAGATATGATTATCTTTTTCATTGCTATGGATTTTACAGAAAATTTAAAAAAAGGGACTAATCGTATCCAGCCAAAAGATTAGTTTTTCAGTTTTTTTAATTCTAATTTTTATACTTTTTCGGATTATATTGAAGTAATGATTCCCATGCAGTGAACAGAATATCATTCAACACAAAAATGAAGGCTTCTGTTCAACATGGAGACTGTCATTGACTAGGGGTTAGCGCTTGAAAGAAAAAATTAAAAATTGCTACAAGTGAATGTTATGTTAAAAGAAAAATATTTAATAAAAAATGTTTGAATTTCTTGCTACAATAGTCCAGAAAACAGCCCGTTAAAACCGGTGTCTTGCTTTCCAATACTGCAGTAGATTAAACTAAAGAAAAATAAATTACAATTAGAAAAATAAAAAAGCTACAAAAATGTACAATATAGACAATAAAACACTGTAACTCTTCTCACTAGGCACTGAGGAGACTGATTTGCATGCTTACAAATTCTTATCATGAAACTGATAGCTTATCTATCATAGTCTTTAAGATATTCTGCATTTTGATTACTGAAGAGGTGCTTACCTCAACAGGGACACTCGTTCAGGTGATCTATACCTTAAAATTTGTTTTGTATTTTGAAGTTAGAGCGTCAATTTTGCAGACAGTTATAATTTTCGTTTTTATGGGGGAAACGAAAATAGATGGAATAGAGAGGAGATAAGAAATGCAAAAATCTTTAATAATTATTGTGACATCAGGATGAATGGATCTCATTAATCGTTTTTTACATTCTTCGGTGCCACTTATCTTCTTTTTGCTTTTTTAAACGGCTTCTAAAATATTTCTTTTCTCTTTCATTTTTCTGCTTTTCATCATCATATTCGAGACCCTTTACCAACCTACAGATAGCTGTGTACAACAAATAAAGCTAGATATTGCATTTATTGCAGTTTTTAAAAACCGATTTTTTTTTTTTTAAATTTACTTCATTTTTTAACATATTATTATTACGACTTGAATGGACAAGTACAGATAATAAAAGAAAGGGTCTTGGGCTTGATATTTGGAAATAAACTGTTAAGTCTAAAAAACAGTGAAAAAACTGGGGTAACATTGATAGTAGAGATACAGTAAGAGGTCAACTCTCTTAAAAATCCACCTGCAAACAGGAAATATTACACCAGATATTCAATTGTGAATGGTTGAGTTTTTATGACTTAGTTTCCTTCTTTTTATACATTAAACATAATTAATTGCCCATTTATTTGTACAAATTTGTTAGTTTTTTCAAAAATGAATTCGATGCAAATTCTCTGAGAGCGAAGTTCAAAAGCAATAATGCTCAAAAAATTTTAAAAAGTGCAACTATTAATAAAAAAACATGTTCCTGATGACGGCTGAATGGAAAGAAATTTTTCCTGTAGGTAAAAGGCCATGCGATGATATGAGTGTTGTGTTATAATTATACCCCTAAACTCAGCGAGTTTAAACATGAAGTAAAGTTTCGTGTAGACAGCTGACTGAGATATGACATTCAATCTGAAACATGAAAAGAAGGAAAAATTAATAAAACTCACTTTCACCAACACGTGATCCAGCAAAAGAGTTGGTCAAGACTAGACATAAAAAATCTCACTTAAAAAAATGCATGCCATTTAAAATTAAAGTTTCTACTAACATTTTTATCCCTGTGGGAAGATCACACCTTCCAACGCTTAAAGATGTGAGGGGTGATTGCAAATGCGTTACCTGATTTGTAACAGAGGGTCATCAAAACGACCAATTTCCGACCTGCTATGGATCCAATAAAACCTAGATTTGTTGTTCCCTCGTCTACGACACGTCTCTTAATTTTTTAAAAAAAAAGTTCTGAGCCTAGATACCAAAAAAAATAGTTCCATGTAACAAAATTGCATGGCTGCAAACTTTAAAATACTATGCTTGGCCAATAAGATGATAGAAAGCCATGACCTGGACCAAAGCTAATTCAAGCTACTTCAATGTGAACATGCATTGATTCAGTTTTCTCATTACTGTAAAAACTTGCAATTCTTTTTCGGTACTGATGAAATCTTAAAAAGCCTCAACTTTAATTTGAAAGGAAAATTGTTTCATCAATTTTTACATGTTTTATGTGCAACAATACATCATAGCTGACAAAGTAATGATTTTTTTGGCAGATCTGAGCATCTTTCTGAGTTTTTAGGGGTTCTAGAACAATCACTCAGAGGAATAAATGTTACAATGAGGCACCAGGGATCAAACCTGAGACCAATCAGCCAGAGCGCAATGCTTTCACCTACCAGACCATGTATCTCGTTTGCAGTATTTAAAAATCTCCCCTTCCATGTTATTTTTTTAAGAGAAAACAAATGCATACCATTCCTTGAATCACAGAGTAATCTTTGTGCAGAGAAGAAAAATCACGGAAGTGTTCAAGAACTTACATTTAGTAATTTTCCATTTAAAAAATACAGTATGACAGGAGGTTTGCAACGTCGCAAACCGAGATACATGGTCTGGTAGTTTCACCGTCCATTACCAATTACATTACTTAGTTTGCTACTTCAGCCCGCAGCTCTTTTTGCCAGTTTTTGGGCAACTCCTATATGGAGCTCTCGTTCCTATTTGCAAAAACGATGAAATATGAGTCCTTTAATTTTGTCTGAGGAAACTTTTGGCCACATTCTGATTAAATAGTAGGTGGGACACTTTTTGACCCCTTGTGAGTGTGGGTGTATGCTTGAGTTCTGAAAAACATTAAAAATTAAACATAGTGTACAATAGAGTCGCATTGAAGTCAATCCTTGAATGGTGTATTCCAAGCCTCGGACTGTGCAATGCAAGTGTGAACCGTATGGCATTTTCAACGAGGTCATGGGAGAATGGAATGGTTTTTGGGATTTATTACTTCAACTGAATAATTATTTTCACGAATTTGGGTACATTATACTGACCAAAGTCATAACAAATTAAAACATGTATAAAACTCCTGGTTGTTATGAAAGAGATTTTCTACCTGTATTTTCTCGGTAAAATCCAGAGCTGGGACCTTGCGTGTACAGCATCCCCAGTCGCCGCACTTCAGTCTCACGAGTAGGAATACTAGACAACACAGCCTCTAAAAGTGACTTCATTAGTGCTCCAGCATCTCTATCGTACTCTATGATATCAAACAGCCTTTGGCAGGGGATAAACTTCTATACACTGGCTGAATTTTAGCTTAATGATTTCCTCATGAAATATTTCACAGCAACAGCAGATCTTCCACATCTTTCTTTTCTTTCGAGACACTCAAATGTTAGCCTACCTGATTTAAAAAAAAAAAAAAAAAAAAAAAAAAAAAAAAAAAAAAAAAAAAAATTCAACGCGGTAATAAAACTTAAGATAAAGGTTTTCACATACCTCATCAATCTAAAGTGAATATTCTTGCAGAAATATCCGTTACAAGCCAATCCATCCCTGGGAGTAAATTATCTCCTGTGACAGCACTGCAGTTGAATATTTGCCAATGGTGCGTTTTGATTTTTGGTAGTTCCAAGAGGTCACGGATTTCTTCTGCAGATAGAGCACCAGGAAGATCTTGTTTATTCGTGAATACAAGAAGTGTTGCTCCGGCCAATCTTTCTTCTTGGAGGAGTGAGAACAGTTCTTTTTTACAGTCAGCGAGTCGACGTTTGTCAGCACTATCTACCACCCATATTAGACCATCAGTACTCTCAAAGTAATTTCGCCAATACGAGCGTAAAGACTTTTGACCTCCAACATCCCACATATTAAGCTTGAAACCTTTGTAATCTAATGTTTTTATGTTGAAACCTAACGTGGGTGCAATAGTGTCGATCTCTTCGCCATTAAATCTCCTCAGTAGGGTGGTTTTGCCGGCATTATCTAGACCCAACATTAAAATTCGCATTTCCTTTTCTTTCTGTCGCATTTTCTTTAAAATCGTTAGGAATCCCATGGCAGAACACGATAACAGAAACAACAGATGCCGAGTAGGTAGCCTTTGTCACTTGAAACTCGGATCAAGACAGCCGTAAGAAGACACCGAATTGAATTCTAAAGAGAGTTAATTGACAATGCTTGGCGTACCTTTGGTTTTAATTGCTGTAATAACTGAGTATATTCACGGATTCACAAACTTGTATGTGACTTTTAAAACCCAAATTAAAAACAAGTGTACTAGGTGATAAGGTGTTTGGTGTAAATCTACCTTGTGTTAACCTAACTTTCAAAATATTTATTTCTCTCGAACGCTACCTGGTGGCTGCGACTTGCGACATGAACGTCGCTAAGAGCGCGAAATGGCGCGTAATTCAATTTGACGGGCCTGGAAAATCGGCGCGCATGTATTACTGACTTATTGTGAGTGATATTGTAAAATTTAGGAGGTTTGACGGCGTCGTCAGAAATTACCAAGCGTTCTCAAGTAAAGGTAAATTGAAGTGCTCGGCGGACAAGGCGCATTAGTGAAGTTTTTGAGAAAAATTGAGATCTTGATCCAAGTAAAACTAGCCTTAATGCATTCTCTGTGAAAAACTCGCTCCCAAATTCCAATTTATAAGCATCTAGAGGTCAGTTTGAACTTTCTCTCCGCCAACGAGATGCATATAATTTCGAAACTTTAAACAAGTGTGTCGTATGAAATAATTCACAGTCGCGACTTACTTACACGCCTCACAATAGAGAGGAGAAAATGGGAACAGATTCAGGGAAAAATTCATTACATACTGTCGGATGAGTTACTTACGACTAGAGAACTAACTTACACAATCTTAGCAGCACGGCAAGTCTTATAGCCTTTTTACCGAAAAATGCCTCAAATTCTAAACTAAATATTGTGCTATAGCTTCCATCGCCTTGCTAAGGCGCAGGGATACAACTATTTGAACTCTCCGGAACGCGTGAGGTATCACGCCTCAATTGAAGGCGTTTTCGAATCTTCTGTGTTACATGACGAGATTTTCCAAATTGTTTTGCATTATATTGTTGATTTGAGTTCCTTTTATTATTTAGTTATTTTCTCCTGCTTCTGAATTTTTAATTATTCGGAAAAAATTATCCATTTCCGAAACACAATCCTGGCTTTAGCGCCCTTAAACTACGGCCTTAACGGTTGAAACTATATAATGATGGCTAAGCGCGGTACCACGTAGCTCCATTTTGCAGTGTTTATAAATAAAGTGTTCAGAATTTAAATGGGAGCAGTGTAAATTCAGCTTGTCGTTTTCTCCAGAAAATTTGTGTTTTATCAAAGCAAATTGAGCAATACAGCTGAGAGTTCATACGGTGTTTTTCCGTGGCATAGCAGCAAAGTGTTCATCCCTTAAAATTATCCTCCTTCATAGCGAGATAAAGATGTCGATGATGATACACATAGTGCAACGGTTTGAGCAGTGAGGCCTGCTTTTCGGAAACAAAATCGACGCTAGTTCGCCTTCAAATTTGGCGATGCAGCCCAACTCCACACCAAAGTTAATTTAGTTGCATCCACCGATTGGCTGTACTCTGACACGAATCCCGAGGAGTATAAGGACCTATTACTTACAAATTAGGATTTACTTAACAGACAGGCACTACCATGAGGGAAAAACCCATATTAATATTCCAATGTTGACAAATATTTTTTCGAAAAAGAGCGTATTTTTAAAGCGAGTATAACGAAGTACCTAGATTTTAACTGTCCCGCAAATATGAGTTTTACATATTGAATTAGTTTGTGTACAAGACGATTGACCTACATGAATCGCGTTCTCTTTCAATAATTAGATGCTACACCCCACGATGCACATTTTAACACAACAATCAAAGTGACGATTTCTGACTAAAAATCTAGAGGGACGCATAGGACATTGACGTTAGAGTTCGGTCTTTCACGCGCATAGTTATTTTCCGCCTTCAATTTCGGTGGTAGGCCAGAGGGCATTCTCCGCGCAGTTAGTGTCTGCTCAAGGATTTCTGTGTCGAGCTGTCTTTGATTCTTGCCTCCTTGTCAAATTTCAAATTCCAACTTGATGCTTTTCAACGCAAGCTCTGTTCTTTTAGTTAAAGTCTCATGTCATGGTACTTTTCTTATGATTAATGATGAAGTCATGATTGATAGTCTTAGGTTGATGATGATTTAAGTATATTGCAATTTATAATTACATTCCAAATTCAACTCATAAGTTAGAAAAAAACGATATCGGTCTACGTACGTTAATTCACACTTCCCGCTTAAAATAAACCGAAATTAGTCGGTTCAGGGCCGGATTAAGGGAGTGGCCACATTGGCCGCGGCCCATGGCGGCAAAATGTAGGGGGCGGCAAATTTTGCAATCTTTTTGAATGTAGGTATCAAAAAATGAGAGCGAAAAATCGGATTCAGAAAATAAATTACAAACGAGAAAAGGCGACAAAATCTCTCATTACCTGAGAATGAGAGTATAGTAATTTCTAATTTTGTCGTCTTTCGGTGATACAAGAGACAACACCTTTAATTAGTCGAGTTAAGAGAGAAACCAAACACGCAATTTGACCTGAAACGGAGCGGTGCGGCGGCGGTCGGCTTGAAACGCATAGCGCCTACAAGACTTCATGAATACTTCACGCATTGCGTCAAACACACTGCGGTGGTTACACACACACCTTATGTCAGCAGCAGTCGGCTTGAAACGCACAGCGCCTACAAGACTGTATGAATTCTTCGCGCATTGCGCCAACACAGTGCGGTCGGCGCAGCGGCGGAAGTTAAAATTATTAACCACATTTATGTTCGTTCTGTCATAATTTTTTCGCTCATTTTTTATAAATGGAAGGCCCTGTCCAAACAGGGATAGGTTTACGGAGCTGAACTTTTGTTAGTGTTGACAGGGCCTCCACAAAAAATGTGCCCAACACGAGTAAACGCATCTCATACACCCCTCCCCCACCGGCACTTGATGGTTTTTATAGATCGTATTCGACAGATCACACAGGTGAGATTATATTGATATCGATTGGTTCAATATGTAAACACAGCCTCAAAAGTCAATTTAGAAATCTGAGGTAACGGTTCTTATGTGATCAAATTTTCATTCTCTACCAAATAAAGTGAAATTGTTAGGAATTTTATCATTTTCAGCTTTTCCAAATTACATCTTAAAATTTTTGTGTGAGGTTATATTCTATTGTTTTGAACCAAACGATACATCGAACATTTGTCGGGGGCGGAAAAATACAGGCGGCCCATGGGCGGCAAGTAGGTAAATCCGGCGCTGGCTCGGTTAGTAGAATATTCCGTGAAAATTTCAAGATATAAAGTTGGCTTGTGTCTCCGCGAAAAAATAAAATGGGAACGAAAATTTTGATCCGCCGCAATGGAGATATGTTGTTTCGCAGTTGGCCATTGATATGTTGATTTCAATGTAAAATTTCTCCTGCGTTGATTATGATTTTTCCACGAGTGGAGAGTTTGAATTTACTGCGTTTATAATAAAAACTGCATGAACGTTTTTATCTCGTTGGTGAATTTATTTGAAATTTGTTGATTATCTCGTTAGTGACTTTATTTGAAATTTGTTGATATGCTTAATGATTTTTAAGTGAAATCTAGATGAGAATATGTGTGCTGTAGTGCTCATTTTTCTAACCCTGCCTAAACTGCCGTGCAAACGAAAAATAGCCGCATGAGCCTTTAGAAGCTGCCAGATTTCCCTCACTAAAAACCGAATTAACTGGTAAAATTCTGAATATTTTCCCCCAAAATTTTCAGACAGTTTTTTTACGCAATTTAATCTAAAATATCTGTAAATTTCAAGGAAAAATATGCCTGAATGTCGTCAGAAATACATGTTTTATCAAGGGAAGTTTCGCGACCCTCGAATGTTCATACGGCGTTTTTCCTTAGCACGGCAGTAAAGGTCAATTGCAGCTTCATTAAAATTGATTTTTTCAATTAATATGTATCATCAAAAATCCTAGGCCATCTTCGGGGCCCTCTTTGAGAAAATTTCAATTTATTTCAATTTGGCATCGTCGCTGATCCGAGTGGTAAAAAACGGTTGTCGGCTCGACGTCGCGTCGGGGCCTTACTCACGTGCTTAGAAAAATAATAGAGGGAAAGCATGATAAGTGGCTCATCATCCAGAGGTGTTGTCTAGAGATAGCAACCGCGCCACCTACGTTAGTGAGTACCCGCGAGCCGCAAAACCATCAACTTCGTTTCATTTGCCAGCGTCAAGTTCGTGCCGCGCATTTTCTCATCAATATTTCCTTCGTAACCTCCCCAAAGTTTATGAGAAACATTTCGTGCGAATCGTTTAAGTTGCTGAACAGTCGCTAGTTGTTTTAACACAGTGCTTGTGATTTTTGGAAATCTCTCCGTTCAAGGATTCCAACGTATGCCCGATTACCACCCTAGAGATAGCCTTGTTTACATTCCAGGTACAGAATTGTATTTTTTTATATAATTATATATCAGAACCCCAGAGCCAAAAGGTACCTAACTCACATTTTTGGAAAAGTCGAGCCAGCGGACTGATTATTAAAATTTATAGACAAAGCGATGGACAAAGAAGAAATAAGGAGTATAAAGCAATCCTATTGGTTGAAATGGGTGGTTCCTATGGACTAAGGGAGAAAATGATGTACTAAGTAAAAAAGGAGCATAAGAAAGTAAGCAAAAAAGAGCATAAAAAAAAAAAAAAAAAAAAAAAAAAAAAAAAGCATCGGGTCTCTGGTAGATTGCCGTTGGTTAATCTGTTACCTTAGTCCTTTGTCCATAACCACCTGCCTCCACCAATTAGGATCCCTCGATATCACTTTTGTCTCCTTTATCTATCGCTTTGTCTATCAATTTCAATAATCACCCCGCAGTGGCGTTTTCAAAATCTCCATCAACGGTTCCATTAGTGTGGAAAATTTGGTAGCCTTATCTTATGCCGGTCATAAGATACGGAGTTTCAAAAATTTCGATTTACATGGGAATCAATGGGGCCAATGCGCGGTTTTTCCGTGATATCTCGAAAATACTGAAATGGAGTTAGGTACCTTTTGGTTCTGTGGTACTGATATATAAACATCAAACTAAAAATAAGGCCAGGTTAGGAATCGAGCATCATAATCATATTTTCTCCTAAATTTCACGCTAAACATGAACACTCAACTGAATGAAAATTTCCAAACTCAACTCACGAGAGATTTCCGCGTTAGAAACTCGATTTTCCGCACGTGAAAAACCCAAAATCCACTCGAGTCATGCCGGACACCTCCGTGTACCTACTTTGCGAAAAAATCATTTTTTTCAGTACTGAATTTATCAAAACACGTTCAAAGTCAGGTTGTATAAAAAAGAGGACTGCTTTTGTGAAACCAAAACTTAGTAGGTAACATCTCTCTGTCTCCTAAGCTCTTTTAAGTTTTGTAAGTTTGTTCATGATGACCATTCAAATTCCGCTGATTTTGGTTTCTTAGCAAGCGGGAGGTTTGAATTAACTTATTCTAATGTGAACTATAAATGCCTAAGATTATCATCATTATTATTGACAAAATCTCCTTCCGAGAGGTTTCCGAGAGACCAACCCCCTTCCATTACGCACGTAGGTATCGCAAATATCGAATCCAGATGAGAGAGCCTGCTGTCTCACATGGAATCGATTCTTTTACATACACTTAAATGGACGAAGCCCGCACTGTTGCCAAATTAAGAGAATAAATTTAATATGACGAGAAGGAAATAAAATGATTCAAGAGTGAGAAAGTGAAATGGTCCAGAATACGTTTGCAAAATCGCAATAATATGAACTTGAGATAAGACTATTTGTGGAAAATAAAATGTAAATAAAGCCAGCAGAAATATGAGCCTGTTATTTATAATCGAAGTATTAAAAGCAGTCACGGAGAATCTGCCCATGAAGTATTTACGTATTCACTTGATATGATATGATTCTTCACAATCCTTGGGATAATCAAGCGTTTTCATTTACGCTTGCAAATTTTTTATGCTTAATCCCGATCATCTTTTATCAGCATTCCGCCTTTTCCTGTCTATTATCACAAGCTATTGTTTGCTGCATCCTCCTATGAAAATGATAATTTTCTCTATAAATCGTTCATTTTGCCATCCCTTGTTAATTCGAAGGCCCCCCCTCCTCCCTTCTTTCTAGAATATCCACGTTAAGAGAGTTTTGTACCGTGCTAAGGAAAAACGCCGTATGCACATTCGAGAGTTGCCAAATTTCCCCCGATAAAATGTGTATTTAAAGGAGATTTATGAATATTTTTCCTTGAAATCTTCAGAAACTTTAGGTGAAATTGCGAACAAAATTTTAGGAAAAATTGGAAGAAATATATTGACAAATTTTCCCGAGAAATCGTGATTTACCTAAGGAAATCAGGCAACGCCTGAAAATTCATTCGGCGTTTTTCCTTAGCACGGCAGTACTGCTGTCTGTACCTTTCTCTGCTTACAGTTAACTATAGTTTTAAGGCTGCAGTTTCGACCTTCTGAAAATCTTTTTTGGAGCGGGGTAATTAGAAAGGCGCGTGAGAAGTTTTACGCACGTTTACGGCAAGATACTAAGACGGGTGTGAAGCTCTACCGCAACCAGTTTATCAATGAGTTCAAAAATAACCATGAATGAACTGAGTTGATTCTGATTTCTGCGAATAAACTGTACCCCCTCCCCTCTCCTGTCCTCCGACCTGAACTAGGTTACAATATTTCGTCGCTTGTCTAAAGGCGTAACTACACATTGAGATGAGCCCGGAAAAGCATTGAATTATATGGAGGACAGGGTTCATCGCAGAGTGTAGTTACGCCCTTATGTCAGGTAGGCGACGATTTATCTCCTGAATCGGGGTCAAACTACGCAGGAGCACGCGCTGACCCTCCTATTTATTGATAAACCATCGGTAATATTTATATTCTAAAAACTGTGCAATATTACATCAGAATATCTTTGCCAAGAAAATGCTATGCCTTAAGTTACAAGACATTTTTATTTTTATTTATGGGTGATTATTCTTGTCGCGAACGTTACATTCTAACTATTAAATGGATCACTAAACCATGAACGAATTTTGACTTGCGAATATGGTTTTCTGAAGGAAAATGACGCGTATAACACGATGCGAACATTAAGAACGCGAACAAGTAACTCAATTACCGAAAACTGCGCAGTTCAAATCGCTCAACTTATACGCAAATTTAAAACGCCCCGGTTTCGCGCCGCACCGAATGATGTCATCCGGCACCAATCAGAGGCGGGCACGGGTTTCCACGACGTCCGTCAAATGTCTATCTACTCTTCGTATATGAGAACAATACTAAAGTCGAAATTATACCTTTTGAATTCAAGACTAGAATCTCATTCATATGTCAGCTGTAATAAACAAGCAACAACTCCACATTGAAATACGTTTTATTTTAACAAACATCAGGGGAAAATGAGAGAAGATTGCGATATGACTACCGCAGTGCATCAACCGCGTCAGTTTCCCGCCATTCGGGTGCGTTTGAAATGTCTTGCAGTTTTTAGATTTTTCAAAAGCGGTTTTCTCCGCGATTTTGGTTCCATGAAAATGCGGAAAAATCACCACGTTATCTCCTCACATAGTACTTTCAGAATATTCAATAAAATAAACAAGGTTTAGTGACCCAAAGTTAGTCTGTTCAGCACAAAACACTTAATGTCTTGGGACTCATAGAGAAAAAAAAAGGTATGTTTGCATTTCGGGCATCTTGGATTTTTTTGATGACATAGGTCGGCACGGACGATTTTCATCATCGATTCTTTCGGATAAAAGTAATTCTAAATAAAATGTTTGAAATTATATCATGAGTTGATTTCAGCAAAAAAATCGGACGTTATAGTCCATTCCTCATACTTCGTCTTCCGGATTTGCTGTGGTAACTACCGACGTACGGCACGGGGTAAACAATCCTCAAAATGCAAACACCTCTTTTTTTCCCTGTATGTTTAGAACTGAGTAATATGCCTCATAATGTCTATCACGCTGATGAACGGAGCTGGGGGAANGGGGGGGGGGGGGGGGGGGACAGCTGTCTCCCTCCGGTCTCCCAGGAATCTACTTCTATCTACAAGTTAGAAAGGTCAAGATCCTCGATTCCTCGCTTGATTCAGCGGAATCAAGGATTGAATTACGGAGACATATAAGATGATCGGTCACTGCCAGTGGTCAAGGAACTTGTGGTTAGGTCACAGTTGCAACTTTTAATCGGAGAAGAAAAAAAGAAGAAACAGCCTAACCACCTTTTCCGGTAAACATTATTAACACAAACCGGTACCTACTAACCAAAACGCGCAAAGAGGATTTACTTAAGCCACATTTTGGCGGGAAAAAATAAGTTAGGGCTGTTCGGAGTGGTTCCGAACTTAACAGGTTGTGCTCTTTTACCAGTCAAAAAATTTAAGTCAAAGGGGAAGATATTTTGAGAATAAACTTTCAATTATTTAAAAAGACATTTTTAGAATTTTTTTTCTCGATAAAAACCGGCAACGTAGGATTGATAGAATTTCTGATTCCTTTGGTGTCATAGGAATTAATATTAGTCGCAGCTATGATGAATCAATCTATGTGCAATACTCAGGTAGGAAGTGAGCACATACTATACTTTCTCTTAAGAACATGACTGGACTATGATCCAGACTTCCTCTTAATGGGTGCTGAAAAAGGGACTTGGGTGCTAAGACTCGAGTTTAAGAATCGAAATAATTCAGTAGTCATGTCTCATTCTCATTGGTTACGGGCACAGGATCGGAAAAAGAACCGTCGCACGGTGGGTCGAGTCAGTAGGAGAGGTCGGACAAAATGTGGAATCTTTAAAAGCTTATAACTCCGTTTATATAAAACTATGAGGCTCTAAAAGTGGTTTTCTTGGTTTCCTCGTAACATTTCCCTCCAGAAGCACCCCTTAAAATTTAAAATGTGGAGAAATAAAAGTCAAAATTTGCAGTTTTAGTAAAAAATTTCATGTCCGACCTCTTTGATTGACTCGAGCCACTGTGCGTCGCTTGGTTGCCGTTACCTGGCTTGTTCAATCACCCGCGCCCTTCCACTCTGGCTTTCAGAGTGGTGTCTTGTGTGGCACTTTGATGGTGGAATATCGGCATGTCCGCGCCAAGTAAAAACCTCTTATCTGCGTGGAATTTATATTGGAGTTGTTCGGTTCTTGGATTCAGTCTGCGATCAATGACCAAATTACTCTGACTTCGCATTTGATATGCGCGACGTGTGCGCAGTCGAAGGTCCGATCGCTCGGTTCAAATGATTCAAGCACACCGGTACTTTCGAGGGAACTGTTCTAATTGGACAACATCTTGAAATTAGGAACTGAAGGTTCTGGCTCGACCGTGAAAACACATATTTTTGCATAGGGAAAATTGGACTGCGTTTAGCACACTGGAAAAAAAAACACATCG